TTATATATAAAATTTTAACCAATGACGGTGATTTTAGGAGTGAAATAATAATAATGTGGTAAATGTTTTGAACGAAATTAATAACGACGATTATAATGATAACAAATTATTACTAATAATAAGGTTTATGTAGGTGATAAGAATAATAAAGACAGTTTGCGTATATAAGTGTATATGTAGACAATTCAGTAAATAAATAAAGTGGGTCAAAACTTAAAAGATCAAGTGGAACGATAATCAGAGTTTAAGTAAATATTACAAAAGTACGAAGGAGGTGGAATATAAGAAAGGGTGGGAGGGTTTTGAATACAGTTCACCTAGGCCAAGGGAGAGACAAAGGTAGAACAAACTTCTTTTGTATGCAAAGGCTAGGATTGTTCTCTCGTATTCCCATAGCTTTGACTAGGTGTAAAATACGGTTTCTGATTCCGTTCGAAAGACTCGATGGAATACGATAGATAACTTTGAAGGCACTATTTTTGTCCACTTGGTAACCACTATCAATCAAATGAGCCAAAATAGAACTTCGCATGGATTTTATTTGACCTTTTTAGAACCATGAAGGAAGATGATCATTAAAACGTTTGTTAAGTTGTCTAATTGTTCGCCCTATATAGCTTTCTCCACAGAAGCAACTAAATGTATAGATACACATCGAGGTGGCACAGCTAGGTAGCTTATCTTTCACTTGAGCAATCATAGTTGATCGGCTGGAAAATGACAAACAAAGGGTAGCGGCAGTATAAGTCCGTTTTGTTGCCCTCGTTAATCTCAGATGTGAGACTTCGCTAGCCACGTCCGCATTAAATTGAAGTTTCATGAACAGTTCTTTCTTTTTAACTGTTGTCAGTTTTCCTTTATTGTACCTGGTATTCATGTGTCTCCTAACAAATCTGCTAGGATAACCCATTTAGACCAGCGTATTTTGGATACATCCTAACTCATTTTCTAGGGAGTCATCTATACAGATACGTCTTGGTCTATTGGTGAGGCATCTGACCAAATTGATTTTATATCGGATTGGTACAAAATTGGGAAATGTGAATATTGTCCTACAGATGTAGGTTTTCTATAGACATCTCTCTTGAGTGAACCATCCTCTCTTCTGCTCAATTGGACGTCAAGGAAATGTAATCCACTATCATGTTCTTCTTCACAAGTGAAGATAAGCGATGGATGTGCATCACTAAACTTTTTAACATTTCATTCTTGTCAGTTTTCACATCAAGAATAATGAACGTATCATCAAAATAACGAAAATAAGAATTGGTTTTCTTTATTACTTGTCTCAATGAACCATTTTCAATCTTGGCAAGAAAGAAATCTGCCAAAATTGGCCCCAATGGAGAACCCATGGCAATACCGTAGATTTGCCTGTAGTAAAGGTTGTTGAATATGAAATGTACATTCATAGTGCATCTTAAAAGCAACTCTTTCAGACTAATAACTGGAATTCCGATGTCGATCTTTTTTTCTAGTATCTGTTGGAATATGAATTCCACAATCTCCACAAGTGGTACGTTAGTAAACAGTGATGCTACTTCTGAGGAAAGCATTTGCTTCCCATTTACATTGATATCATCCACGTTAGCAATAAATTCAAAAACGTCTTTAACACTATGATTTACTATATAAGTCTATGTAAATTAGAGTAAAGCCAGGAGAAGATCTAATTGAAAACAATATTGTTCGCTTATATATCTTGTTCTAATATTATAAATGGGAATATTTAAAGATTTGAAATCAGGGTATGTTCCAGCTACAGGACAGACTAAAATTTCTCATAGAAAGAAAGGTTATTTTCACCATATATCAAAAATAATGCGAAATCATGAAATCTAAGATTTTATTTGGAGATGGAGTTCCAAAATATCTTTATGCTGTTTCTATTTTCACCATCTGGTCTCCAAAAACATTAATTATAGTGAAGAATCATCATTTTCATCATGGAAAGCCGGGTGTACACGCAAGCGCCACCAACACTCTCCTTAACCTCATGTGACCGATATCAAAAAAGGAGGAAGGGGAAGGTTGAGAGCGAGGCTTGCAAGCCTGCCCTGTATAAACAAGAGCACCCTTCCTTATCTAGGCTGGATATACATCGCACAGTGTAGCAGTATTATCTACTGGATGATATTTCGAACATAATTTACTGTTCATAGTCGTATACAGTGTCAACTAGACAACTTAGAACCTCGATTTGTGATATGCATCGGAGCATTGGATCAAGAAAACATGAAGCTGAGACGTTAAGCACAAGAATTTGCATGAAACAGAAATTTTAACCCATATTTGAAATTCAGCTGGGAAATAGGATTAGTAAATGTGTAAAACTTGGGCACTGTGGTAGTAAGTAATTCCATATTAGTTTGTTTATTAGATGTATCACACAGTGAAACAGTATTATTTACTGGATGACGTTTCGAACAAAATTTATTGTGGTTCATAATCTTATCAATTGTGATCACACGACTTTGAAACTTGAGTTTCAAAGTCAAGTTTCAAAGTTTCAAAGTCGTGTGATCACAATTGATAAGATTATGAACCACAATAAATTTTGTTCGAAACGTCATCCAGTAAATAATACTGTTTCACTGTGTGATACATCTAATAAACAAACTAATTTGGAAATAGGATTAGTGTTTCGCTCAACTAATAGGGTGAATTCACCAGATTAAATAACGGGAAATTTATGGCGTTTAAGGGAAGTCTGGATGCTGGATAATTATTCCGACAAATGTTTCAGGATGACAATACTAACAACAGGAAATTTAATTAGTATTCTATAGCGAACAGAGAATGTCATCGACTTTACAGAGAATTCCTAACAAGACAGGCTGAAGATATTTAAATCCGAAAACTCAGTAGAAAAAAATGTCAGCTAAAGCAATAAACAAAGTGGTATAAATTACCTAAAATCCTTCAGTTATTGATGGGTCAGATGCTTGGGTGAATTGGAGGGCCGAAGTCAGTTAGATTAACTAGCGAAATCTAGATTAGTCGACCCGAATAATGTGAAGAATTTAAAAGACAGATGAACAATAACGTTGCATAGAGTCCATGAAATAGGATGAGACAAAAGTTGGCGACATAGAAATCGAATACAATACATTGAGGGTGGAGACTGATGCTCATTTGAGAATACGTGCAGTAAGAATGATTCAGCAGGTAACCCACACAGCTGAATATTTTTCTACCTCCACGAAAAATGAGAAAGGATTGACAACAATTACGATTATGAGCAATACATTTTAACCGGATTTAGGTATCAGAGGCGTGGAATAATGCTCTTGTTCACGCAGAGTAAAATACTAAGTCGCATCATCCTGGAGAGAATAAAGGATACACTGGATACAGAATTCTGTCCACACCGGGAACAAGCTGAATTCAGGAAAAGTAAATCATGTATTGATCAAATTACAACTCTACGCATCGTCATCATTGAACAGAGCATAGAATGAAAGTAACGCCTCTACCTCAACTTCTTCCATAGACTTCGAAAAGGCCTTCAGAAGACGGTATTGACCATGAGTTATTACGGAAACTACTTCAATACTATGGTGTGCAGTACTCAAGTGTTTGTCAAACTCATTCAAAAGCTATATAATCAGGCAACAGATCGTTTATTGAGGAAAATCAACACATATTTATAGATTTTAATGTACATTATTGTAGATTATTGTTAGTAGAAAATACAGTCTTTGATTGGTTTTTCTGACAGTGTCACGTATCAGTAAAGTGCTCCACAGTGAGAAACTCAGTGGGCGTTCAAAGTGCACACATGAGTAAGATAAGGCTGCCTATTGTCACCGATGATATTCCTAATTGTGGTGGACTGGATTATGCGTCAGACTGCTGGGGGCGAGGATTCAGGAATACGCTGGACGACCGATACTAAGACTCTACAAGATCTTGATGATGATATATGTCTAATGTCACACAAACTCGGAGACTTGCAAGCGAAAACCAACAAACTAGCTGAAGAGGGAGAGAAAACAGGACTCCATGTGAACACAGAGAAGACGGCTGTGATGAACACAACCACGCACCAGCAGAAACAACAACAGCCAGGGCCAATCACCATCAACGAAAGAGATTTAGCACAGGTTGCCGCCTTCATTTTTCTGGGAAGCATAGTTTCAACTATAGGCGAAAGGTATAGGGATGTCAAAGGCGATCAGAATTAGAAAGGCAAGGTACGCTTTCATCAACCTGAAACCAGTTTAGAAATCTTCTGCACTCAGCATAAGGAACAAGATTCTCATTTTCAACACCAATGTGAAGTCCGTTCTTCTATGTGGGTCAGAAACTTGCACTGCCTGTCACGAAAAGCATTTCCAACAGGGTGCAGACTTTCATCAACAGCTGCCTTCGCTGGCTCCATACTGAAGATCAAATGGTCAGAAAGAATTAGCAACAAGAAACTATAGGAACAAACCAACCAAGAGCCGATCGCTGAACTAATCTTTAGAAGAAAGTGGAGATGGATTGGGTATACATTGAGGAGGCCGTCGCACATCGCACTCCAGGCCAGTGCTCGAGTGGAATCCCAATTAGGAGCGAACATTGGGTCGTCGGTGCGAGGGTAACGTGGAGGAGATCGTGTGGGGAAGAGATGAGATAGCATTGTAAATCGTGGACCCAGCCGAAGAGGGCAGCAGAAAACAGAACAAAGGGGAGATGTGTTGTTGAACCCATATGTTTCACTCGGAACGGAAATGAAAGAGAATTGTTATTCCGAAACCGATAGATAAATTTATTCCTTTCTTGGTGATGAATGACTGAAATCCTGTCGATACTTCCAACTGAACTTGTACAAAAATAGTTCACAAAATGAAAACGCAATTTCAAAGTTTAAAGGCCTAATCGTCTCGGATTAACTCACTATTTACATGTCATTACTTATTGTGAATTTTTAAAAATATTACGATTGCAAAAATGAGTGGCTCCTTGACCGTGAATCTGTCTATACATTTGGGCATTCAAATATGATTATTTGATCAGTCTTGAAAACTTACTCTCCCGTCTTTTGGGACAAATTGTCGAAAAATGATCATGAGAACTGTAATCACAGCGAAAACACACCCAACAATGAAGATAATCACAGTGTACTTCATCTTAACAGCTCTGAATGCAAGACCCAAAAATGTCACAATTCCACTGACTGTTACTGTTACAAGAATAGATATGAGAGAGCAAAACAATTGGATATACAGTAGTGTGCCAGCGAAGCTAAATGAGATCAGTAGATACTGGAAATAAAACAAGAATTGTATGAGTAAATTATTAATATTGATGCACACTAAAACATTTCAGTTCAATGATGTGTATCATAAAAGAGAATTGATCAGTAGTTAAAATTGTTATTAAATCACGAAAAATACCCATTTATTCATAAGTAAAAACACAGCGCTTTTTGTTCAGCGAAGAAATTTCTTTTCAACGACTTCATTTTCAAGCTGTACAGTCGTATTTATATTACAGAAAAGGTCATTAAGTGGCACTAAATAATTGCTCAGTCAATATACATATATGTGATAAGAATAACGATAATTAAAATGTTATAAGGGGTAGAGTTGAAGTGGATAAATTACAAAATTATTAAAGATTGTTTTATAAGTGAATTGAAATCAAAAATGTTTTAAAAATGTCAAGTGTTGTCTAAAAAATTAGGAGTACGATTACGATAAGAATGAAGATGTGAAGTGAAGTGGAAAGAATTCAAGTGGTAAAATAAAATAAAGTAAAAACTAGAAAGAACATTACTATGACCAAGGTAAAGAAAGGGGTTTGACAAAACGTTTTCGAACACATAATTTAGGTTTCTGTTCATGTATAGCTAAAGCTTCGGCTATGCATAAGTGAAGAAAACGTAAACTTTTGGATCGATTCGATTTCGCCATGTAGATAACCCTGAAGGATGAATCACGTGAGGCTGAATGACCAGACTCTAACAGGTGATCACAAATAGACGACTTCGCAGTTCTATGTTCGCCTTTCATTAACCAGACTGGATAGTGTTCAGCTACACGTTTTCGGAGATTACGCTTACAACGTCCAATATAATCAGCTCCACAAGAGCAGGTAAAAGAGTAAATGCACATAGATGTGGACATAAGCGGTAATCTATCCTTGACGCATTGTCTAATCATATTTCGGCTGGTAAAAACTATTTGCAAGTCAGCTGCAGGAAAAGTACGTTTATACATTTAGATAAACGATTTCTATTCAATTCAGAAATGGTGTCACCTTTGAATGCCAGACTCATAAACAGATTTTTCTTTGGCACTGTGATTTGTCTAGGGGCGGATTCTTTCTTGATGTTACGTTCGATAAACCTTGTAGGATAACCATTATTAAAGAGATTTGATCGAAGCTTATCTAGTTCACTATCGATTGTCTCTGTAGAGCAGATTTTACTAATTCTGGAGCATAAGGAATGAATAAGATTTCTCTTTCTCCCTAAAGGTACCCAACTGTCGAACATTAGTGTACTGCCCAGTGAATGTTGGCTTTCGGTAAATCGACCTTAACAGCGTTCCATTCTCTCTTCTATCTAGCTTAACGTCAAGGAAGTGAAATGAGGAATTCAACTCTTCTTCGACCGTGTAAAGCAAAGATGGGTGAGAACCATTAAATATTCCAAGAAGTTCGGCAGTTGAAGAGTTTTCATCACATACAATGAAGGTATCATCTATCTCTCTTTTATACATAAACAAACTATCGATGGTTTCCTTTAGTGGGCCATTCTCTAAGCTTGCCATGAAGACGTCCGCTAAGAGCGGTCCTAAAGGAGACCCTATGGCTACTCCATCCCTCTGATTGTAGATGACATCATTAAATCTAAATTGCACATTCAGTGTGCATCTCAATAATAGTTGTTTAAGATAAGCAATTGTTATTGTTTTACGCAGTCAAATGCAACTCATACATTCTTTCAGACATATGACAATAAGAACATCAAATGAACGACTTCATACATTTTCTCGAACAATAGCATTATAATGATTGTGTCAAATGGCAAAGATCAGAAATAAATAAATCTTACAAACGCCTTGCTACAAAACGACTATCCTACCAACTTTGTAAGGAAGTATATCTATGATACTACACACACAAAATTAAGTGAGACACAGTTAGTAAGAAAAAGCTTTACTTAAATTTACAATTCAAAGACGATATATCCAGTGACATATTAAACCGTAGATTAACAAGATCAATTGAAAGAACTTTCAGTGCCGCAAAACTGCATGTCACTTTCTCAACCAAACCGATATTGACACTGTGCATTAAAGATAGATTACCCAAAATGGCGACATCAATGTGTGTATATAAATTCAACTGCTCCTGTGGAGCTAGTTATATAGGTCGTACCCAAAGGAATTTATCTTTACGCACTCGTGAACATATTCCTGTTTGGCTTGGGAAAAGAGCAACCAAACCATTAAATAGTGCAATTCTGTCTCATCTAGTGGATAGTGAACACAGCATCAAAGTAGATGAGTCATTTACAGTTGTGTATCGAGTACCGAACAATCTCCCTAAAGGCACACGATCACGCCTCCTAGCCATAGCTGAGGCTTTAGAGATTAATAGAGAGACTTATGTGTACAGAAAAAACTATTCACTCTCTCTCTCTCTCTTCTACCCTGGCCCACTATAAGGTCACCAGGATCATAATTTTCCGTATTATTATTATTACCACATTATTATCATTATCATTTTGTGATATCATGTCTTTATTATCCATTTCTCCACCCAGTTTATTTCACCTCATTGTTACCCTTAATTTTGTCAACCTTTGTGATTTTACACTAAGCCTACCAATTCTGTAACATCTTATTACAATTTACAATTTAACCTCTTTATTTTATCATCAGACATTATCGGTCAGCCCTCACATTCAGTGTCCCCTTTGTTAATGTGTGTTTGTATGTATTTTGTGGTTATCGCATTTCTCTCACCCCAATGACACTTGTATTCTGTTGACTATAAAACAGCACTATATCACCCAATTGTTCATTCACACTTCATCACATTTTTTCTGACTATACACCCTATACACATTTGATTGACTATGTTAACTAATGGACTATCATCTCAACTTACACATGCACCCCAATACAGTTTCTGATATTATTTTCATTTGCCTTTATTGGCTATATGTACTCTATTATTCATGGATTTATAACTGTAGAGCCTGAAGAAGAAGTTATCGAAAACAATTGTTCGCTCAAAATCTTGTTTTGATTTCAATATGGGGATATTTCATTTACTGAAATAAATATTTCAAAACCCTCCACCACTGACATCCTGTTAAAGGTAGAAATCAGAACAACATCCCCAGTAAGTGTACAAAATCGTAATTATACATGTAACTGAGGCCAAGTCACTGTCACTGTCACTGGCAGAAAAGCTCAGTGCTGTCATCACTAATTTCATAAATGTCACCATGGAATACTTGAAATCACAACAACCCTGAGATCTCGTATTTCAAGCGCAACTCAGATACACCTAGTGAAGACGCTGCCTTATTCCTCAAAATTTTTTATAACCTCATGACTAAATCTACCAAAAAACGGGTCGAATCACTAGAAGTGTTAGGCATCCTCACAAGATAAGACTGGCTATCTGACAGACTCATCCTAATTCTGACTTGCTGAAGCGACACAAGTTTCGACAATCTCGGATTACAGTCCAAGGTGGTCGAAGTAAGAATGTAAGCATCACTGTATTGTAATGAGCTGAAGGCATCGTAACCCAATGGTCTAGAATCTATGCCTCGACTTCTTGTTAGGGTGACATATATCTGAACTCTCAAATTCAGAGAAGAAAGGTCTATATTCTTTCCTAATATTTTCCAGTTCCCCATGTGTTACTGGATCGTGATTACATTTTTCTAGGAAAGATGTGGCAAAAAACAGACATAAAATAAAGTAGGTAAACTTACACCTATTAGGATCAGAAGATGGTCAACCACATTTTCATATTTGAATCCCCTGAGTAATACGAGAATTAAAGTTGCCAGTATTCCAAAAGCTCTGAAAAGAAAAATGGCATATTTTCACATCATTGGCACAAAAATGGTCATCGGCTAGAATTCAGGCTGTCTTTCAAACAGCAACCGCTAGACAGGAGGGATAAAAGATGTGTCTTTCGTCAAGGAATTACACCTAGTGTGGGGATTGATTGCTACTTCATGTAGAAACAATATCCGCTAAATGAAATGGCGACATGCTTGAAAACTTGAGGCGCCTGATCTTTCATTCATCACCGATCATGAGCCATTGTATTATGTCCATTGGTAAACAAGTGCTACGTCTGCGAATTTGTTGACGACGAAACAGGAGTAACTGACTCAACCTAAGAATAATTTTATATTTTTTAAAATTTTTTTATATTTTTTATTATAGCTTGACTCCACACAGTATTTTTGGTACAAGTATGTAATTTTCAGCATGTGATATGGGTAGCCTAAATTTTGCAGGCCGACCATTGATATCGGGTGTGCGTCGGCCGGGGATCGAACTCCGGACCATGTGCTTGGTCGGCGAGCGTCCAAACCGCTGTGCCACTGACGCACACAGAAGTATATGGTGCCATTTCGATACCAAGACGACAAACTCCTAATTAGCCTAGCGTAGCTTCCCACCCAGGAAACAAGTAAAGCTAAGCGTATGACCAGTAAACTAACGGTCTACATAACCAACAACACCGTTAACAAAACTCCAAAGCTTGAAGCCCAATGTTCTACTCAAAATACACGTCATGTGATCATAAGGTTCACAAAGAAGACGGTATCAGTCAAACATACTGTGTAAAAAAATTGACTTACATTAAAATAAGTGGCGTGTTAGGATGTTCAGCGAACCAATCGGTAACTGCCTCCCTAGAGCATGAAATATAATTATTCCGTCATAATATTCAATTTTAAGGCTTACGAACTGCTCACGACTAAAACCATGCACACCGTCCCCAAAACAAAAAACAATGTGTCGACTAACATCTGTATGAATCATGACAGGAGTGCTGAATAATTAGAGTGGTTTTGATTACCCAGATGAAGTAAAATAGATATTGGCTTATTTTTGTGTACAATGATGATTCTTTCAAATTGGACAATGTTGAACACTCCACTGACATTCTTTCTTTTCTGTAAATAATTCTTGAATTATAATAAAAAACTAAAAATGCACTTTGAAGGATGAACATAGAATCGGTAGATGAAAAGCATATCTATTTGCAGCCGGAATTAAAATACATGAATATTATGACATATGTAGGGCTGCGTGAATTGACGCGTTTATGCCACTCAGTTAGTAAGAGTTTCCCTGAACCACTCTGATCAAGGCTGAACGTGACACTGATTAGTCGTGTTGGTATTAGTGGTTGTAGGCAATCGGCAGGAAGCCTTGGACCTAGGTTTCGTGCTAGCTGGCACTCATCAGCAAGGCGTATCTGCAACCTTGAAGGAACTGATGTCCCTTCTGAGATTCGAACCTGCGTCACCCAGTGCTGCAGTCAGAGACGTTACCACAGAACTATTCAGGCTCGCGACTGACCTCCTGTAGGACTGTATTGGATATTTTTGATTGAACACTAGTCAGTAACTAGTGTAATGTGTCTAGTCCTATCTTCGGTACAGACTGAGGCTTCCTGCTGATTGCCTCCAACGATATAATACCAACAATTCACAGTGCACCGTAATGGCGAGCCACCTAGCATGGTGGCCACATTACCAACATAACTGATAGAATTCAGTCTGCACTGAAGATAGGACTAAACACATTACACTAGTGACTGACTAGTGTTCAATCAAAAATACTGATTAGTCGTATGATGAACATGGTTGAACACAATAGCCTGTCGAAATCACTTCTGAATTTGTTACATTCATTAATTTTGAGAAGAATGCCATCCATTTTTGAATCAAAAGAAGTGTTTGCAGACTATATGAAGCATTTTACTATGCTATTCATGTATTTTAGAAAAAGTGACAGCGAATTTCAGTTCACAATATCTGTTTCACTAAATTTCCCGTAGAGACTAACCTGAAAGAAACAACCTCCTTTACCTACCTACCTGGGAAGCATCGTTTCAACTACAGGCGGACGGAACTGACGAGGATATCAAAGCAAGGATAAGGAAGGCAAGACAAGCTTTCACTACTCTCAAGTCTGTGTGGAGGTCAACTACACTCAGTATCAAAAATGAGATCCGGATTTTCAACTCCAATATGAAGTCAGTCAGTGCTACTTACTATACGGATCAGAGACTTGCACTGTGCGGCATAAAGAGCATCTGAAACAAACTACAGACCTTCAGTAACAATTGTCTTCACTCTATACTACCCAAGATCAGATGGCCGGCCAGAAAAGATCAGCAACAGAGATCTCTGGGAGCGAACCAAACCAGCAGGAACCGATTGTGAAACAAATAGGCAGACAAGCCCTCGAGATGAAAACGTGTGGGCAGACTTGGAGACAGGTGAAAACTCTAGCAGAGAACCAAACGCAATGAAGACGCACGGCTGAAGCCCTATGTTCCTCTAGGAATTAAAGGAAACAATAATATAATAATAAAATAATTTTACCTTTCACATTCGGCACACTTCTAGCTATGATCGTAGTCAAATGATTCTTCCTTCAATCTACATCCATGTATAACTCACCTGACCTTTCTGTAGGATCAAGCTATCGGAGCCAGAAGGGTCTTAAATCATCCCGTAGGTGCTATTGATTCCTGCAGTTTCACCAATACATGTAGTTCTATCAGTCGATATCATGTATGAGCCTGAAACGATTTAAATCTGGCAAGTTTTGTGGACGTTATGGCATGGATGTCAGCGTATCTGCATTCAAATGCATCTTTTGTACACCTAAACTACCAGTGTTAATACTCAAATTTATAAGTACTTCGATATTGGAGAATATATGTGGTTTATAAAATCAGTGGTAATGTTGATGATATCACTTACGTTTCACAATCTCAAGCTTTATTTACTATGGAATCAAAACAAATATTATTTATATATTTATTTATATATTATCTTGAAATTTTTGTTATTGAATAGATTGTAGTGAACTTCGATCGTAAACAAACGAAATGGATTCACAATGTTGTTTATGTACCTGCGTTTATGAGTACCTAGTTTGAATCTAAACTTGACTGCTCTTCAAATTTATCGCTGTTCTCATTGTGAATAGGAAAATAATCAATTGAGGCTATTTTCCTAGATTTCTTCAAAGTCTCATCGTGGTACTCGCAGATCCGAAGGACATTCCTTTACACCGATGCTTCTTCCGTCATCTAGTGAAGGCTACCAGATGTTAGTGAACATTCCCAGACCATGTTTAACTATGTCATAATCAAAGTTCTCATAATGTGAACAGATTTGCATTTCGCGCTCTGATGTTTCAGATGCAGCTGGTGTGAAACACAGCCTCATTTCGTGGATGTCATTTGACATTCCTGAAGATATATGTGTATCTATGGATCTTTATTACTGACAGCAGTGGGAAATTAAACTGGATGTCAGCTTCTGGGGAAAAACCGCCGCTTAAAACTGTTTTACTTGCGCCTCAATCATTTATCCTTCGAGTGATTGACAACTGCATATTTTGTAAATACCATCGTTTCTTAAATCTATAATAAAGTTTCAAACTTTGCAAGCAACCTTTATGGTTACTACTCAGTGTGATTATGGAGCCACATTTCCAAATAACATGGGGAAGTGGAGTATTTCTACGTAAGACGTATTCAAAACCTTCATCTACTCTGTTTCTGTACTTCCCTGCTTAGTAAGATAGTGTGTGTTAATAGTTCGTGAAGTACCCCAACTCATGGTGCTAGTTACAAATTGCGAAAGTATAGTCATTAAAGATGTGGTCGCTTCTTGAATAAAGTGATCAAATGAGGCATAACAAGCTGAAGACAAGTCAATTATTATCATTATTGTTTCCTTTAATTCCTAAGAGGAACATAGGGCTTCAACCGTGCGTCTCCATTGCGTTCGGTTCTCCGCTAGAGTTTTCACCTGGCTCCAAGTCTGTCCACACGTTTTCATCTCCTCTTCACATGACCTCCTCCAAGTAACCCTCACCCAACCACTGACGACCAACTCGCCGCTTCTCTTTCGGGTTCCACTCGATCAATGGCTTGTCTAGTGATGTCACTTAATGGCTTCCTCAGAGAATGGCCAATCCATCTCCAAAATTCACAACAGACTTAGTTCTAAATTCTACTAAGTATTTTGTTTTCATTAACATCAACTTTATTGTGAACAAAAGTGTGTACGAAATGCACACAACGCTTAACGCAATTTCCTTCGTATTACTTTGTCTACACTCAGGTTCTTCGAGCGAAATAGTTAGCCGCAGCATATCACGTGACAGGGTGCTGTTCGGTCTGAATCATACTATTTCCTTCGGACATACCTGTGTGCATTAGCAGACATTTTCCTTCGCAAATGTAGTCATCAAAATCTTCATGGGCGAAATGAAGGAATCAAAATTTATTATTGGAATGTAATCAGAAATCACTGCATACAGTCCAAACAGGTTCATACAGTTTGAAAACCAGTTTGGATACATTTAACAATTATCCCAAGGTAAAATTCGACTACAATAACCTGGGAGCCGAATCTTGTTTAATTCCAGGCTTACAATTTCAAGGTTATTTATATTTATAGACGCTGTATTTCTTTATAATAAATTGAATTGTTCTGCTTTGCGTGGGCCGGTCTTTCTTACGTCTTTATGTTTATTTACAATGGAAACCGTTTACTGTCTGCTCCGGCTAAGGTGTTAGATGGAGTTTAGGAACCAGAGATAGTCCCTTTCAGCTGATGTAAGTCATTTATTATCCCGATTTAACAGAAGGAAGACAAGTCTTCCAGTGATAATCACAGGTAGATTAGTTTGACCGATATAGTGTGTGAATTTCAAGGGTCATTAAGGCTGCGTAGACTGAGGAATACTAGAGAGGAACACACACGAGGGAACCAGCCAGGCTTTAGATAAGGAAGATATCCCAGTATTCGTTTGTAGTGATTCGGTTGATTGGTTACCTGGGGTTCCAGTCTGAAGTCGTGACCAGTAGGTTTGTAAGAAATTCGAATCCCAAATAGAACACCGAGAAATTGATATAGAAGACATTATGGTAAGTTATGATATTAACTCATTATATACTAGTATCCCTATTACCGAAAGTCTTGATATCATTTCCAGTCTACTAGAATCAGATACAACACTATTAAAAAGATGTCCACTGGAAACCAGTGAAATAATTAAGAGCTTAAAATTCTGTCTAGAAAGTAATTACTTTACATTTAAAGGGAGTTTATATAGACAGACAAATGGTGCTGCTATGGGCTCACCAGTCTCCCCAATAGTCGCCGACCTTTTCATGAATAAATTCGAAAATAACATCTTTTCAAGAATACTCACTCCTAAAATATGGTTAAGATATGTAGGTGATACTTTTGTAGTACAAAAAACCCACTCAAATAAATATTTAAACTTCAAGTAATCACACCCCATCAGAGCAAAGATTTCAGTTGTTTCAAGCCTTCTTAGACGAGCACACTCTCTGATAACCGACGAGAAAGAAAAAGAAGAAGAAATATCAAACATTACGGAAACTCTTAAGCAAAACAACTACCATGGAGCTTCATCAACAAAATCAGCACAGACATTAAGTAGGGCCGAAAACGCATTCTGAAAATATGGACCTCGACAGTCGTCATTCCATATAAAGCAGAGACGTCAGACGATATCAGAAGAGTACTCAATCAGATCGACATTAGAGTTTTCTTCAAAACATCAGACACACTACGAAACAAACTTGTCTATATAAAAAAACTAGATCCCTAAAGATTCTCTATCTAATTGTGTCTATAAAATAAAATGCTTGGAATGTGATGCGATATACATCGGACAAACATCTCGAGAAATCAAAATCAGAATTAATGAACACCATAGAACATCTGTTCGACCACCGAGAAATCCAATTGGACTGGAAAAACTTGAAAAATCATCAGCCATAGGTCTACACGCTATAGAATCAGGTCACAAAATTGATTTTGACAATACTGAAATAATGCAGAAAAACTTCAGAAATCACAAAGAACGTCTAATATCAGA